AATTTTTCCCTTTATGTTGGTTAACTGCTTTATGTATTTATTTGTTCTTATATTGGGTACAAATGTATATATGTACTTACAACTGTTGTATCTTCTTGTTGTACTGATCCTTTGATCATTATGTAATGTCTCTCATTACAGTCTCTGGTCTATTTTGTCTGATGTAAGTATTGTTATCCCTGCTTTCTGTCTCCATTTGCATGGGAAAACTTTTCCATCCTCTCACTTTCAGTCTATGCCTTTAGATCTGAAATGAATCTCTTGCAGGTAGCACATAGATGGGTCTCACTTTTGTATCCATTCTGCCTCTTTTTTTTTTTTTCACTCTGTCTTTTGATTGGAGCATGTGGTCTATTTATAAAGTAATTGTTGATAGGTATGTACTTATTGCCATTTTGTTCATCATTTTCTGGTAGTTTTTATAGTTTTTCTCCTCTCTTCTAACTGTGGTGTTATATTTGGATTCCTTTCTCTTTGTGCATGTGTATCTATTATAGATTTTTGGTCTGTGGCTACCATAAGGTTTATATGTAACTATATACATATATAGCTTAGTGTTTGGACATCATATTTTACAACTCTGTTACATGTATCTCTTAACTATTTACTGCAGACAAAGATGATTTTACTACCTCTGTCTTTAGCTCTGCATTGTTTTTTATTTCATTGCTATATTTTTATTTCATTGCAGGTGGTAAAGAATCTGCCTGCAATGTAGACCTGGGTTGGATTCCTGGGTCAGGAAATTCCCTGGAGAAAGGAATGGCTACCCACTCCAGTATTCTTGCTTGGAGAATTCCATGAACTAAGGAGTCTGGCAGACTGCAGTTCACAGGGTCACAAAGAGTCAGACATGATTAAGCAACGAACACTTTCCCTTTTCACTTTAGTATGAAATCAGTCATATAAATAATTTTAAAACACTTTATTAAGAAAAACAAGCAGTATAATACTTAAAATTTACTCTAGATTTAATCTTGATTTTACTTCACACCTTTGCTTCACAAGGAATTTTAATAAGGTGAAAAGTTGAAAACTATTGAAGAATTTGAACATTTTTCAACCATGCCTGGAAACTATAACAAAATCTTGCTACCCTGGTGCCAAAAACAGTTTACAGTAAGGAAAGATTAGATTAGTCCTAAAGGACTTAGTGCTTCTAAAAAAACTGGCAGACATCAATTTTTGGCTGCACTTGAGGAAAGCACATATGGGATCCAAGGAATTCCAGGAGTGAGCAATCTCAGAAATGTTTGGATTCAGCGTCTTCCCTACAGATATTCATCGTAGAGTTGAAAAATTCATAAAGAAAGTAATACCATCCCTGACTATCAATGAGGTGGAACCCTCCACCTCAAGGCCTGCTCAATGTTAACATTCTTCAGGTCACATACCAAATACTAGCACTGAGGAGCTGAGGGCAGGGGAGAAGAAAGAGGAACTTCAAACAAAGTGACAAAAGTACATGCACCACCATGAACAAAACTTTTCTGGACATTTTGACTAGCTATCCCTCCTCCACTGTAATGTACAGTTTACTCACTCTATAGCTTTTTACTCTAAGATTCCTTTATAAATGAGGATGAATTAAGAAAAAAAATGATATAAAGAATAAATGATAACAGCAAAGGATCTTTGAGAAAAAGCAATAATTAGCAAAACAAACTATAAAGCCATAATAATTCAAACTGCAAGGTACCAGCACAAGTCAAGAAATAGACAATAATGGCTAACAATTTATTCCCACCACTATTGCTTAGAAATTCATCCTTTTCCCAATGCTCTGAAGTGCCAGCTTTGCATATATCAAGTACACACACACATACACAATCTTCTTCTTCCTTTCCTTCTAAAGAGCACTTTAGCTATTATTAATTTTTTTCTTTCCCATTCAAATTTTATCTATCTCTAAATAAGAAAGAATCCTTGTCGTCTAGAACTACTCTGGCGCCTCCACATTCTGGGAGAAGAACTTTATCTCCAACTTGCATGCTAACTGGCTGACTCTCTCCACCCTTTCCCTTAGAGCCCAATCCAACAGCTGCTATCATTGCTCGCAATGCTTTTCCTTGTGGTTTTTCTGGAAGCATAATGTCTCCTATGGTTACAGTTTCAGCTGTACCTCTTTCAACTAACAGTCAAAGAGGGGGCAAAGCCTCCCGGACGCCTGTCCTGCCACGACTCCAGCTGCTGCGGTTCACACTCTGCCCTCACACTACCACAAGGAAAGGCCTTGTCAGACGCTCTGCACATGTGAGCTCAGGTAAGGCTTCTTTGATGTCTTTTGGCAGAGCACAAATGGATTATAGTACAGTTTACATAAGTGAAAAGAAAATTTATTTTGAATAATAAATAATATTCTCTTTATATGCTCTTTTTTCTCTAAGTCTTATTACAACATGAGCAGAGATACTCAATGATAATTCCGTCAAGATTAAGGAATGATTTCAAAATGTGCTGATACTATAGCTCATCTTCAGTTTGACCTCTCTCATCAATCCGCAACCACCTTTAATTTTCCAAGGATCTCTGAAGCAGTCATATGTAGCCACTTCCCATAATATACAACTAACTCACATTATCACAAAACTGTACACTAAGTCAACCTTGTAGAGTCCAATCCAACTATATCTAAAACTCAGAAATCAAAAATGTGTTGCCAAAATATATAAACAATTCACAAAAAGCAAATACCAATAATCCTTAATCCTCAAACATGAAAATAAACATAACCTTGATTGTTAAAGGATAACACATATACATACATTTTACATATATATATTTAATTCAGAGGCAAAAGACAGAGAGATAGCCCTTCCAACTCTAGGGTCGGGGAGAGGAGAAATACAGACTAAGTTGTCATCACTGTACCATTTTCATTACTGAAAACCAGTAGAAGAAAAGAATTGTTTCCCCTTATTAATAATATAGCAAAAACTATGTTTTACTATAACTTAATTCATGAAAGCACTCCTTTACAGGAGAATTCCAGTTAATAAATGCATAAGGAATGACCAAATTAAAAATAATACCATTTTGTAATCTCTTATGAAATAGGTGATTGGAACCAAAATCATCAATGGATGCTAAAACACAACCAAACCTCTCAGTCTTAGAATGATAACTGATTAAGACTGCACATTTTCTGTATCCTAATGGAATACAATATAAGGCACCTAGCATCATTTATGAATTACTTTTACCAAAAATGTTTAACCCAAATTTTATCATCTTTAATCTGATGATCAATTTATAGAAAATTCAAATAAAAAAAACAAAATATAAGTAGTAGTCAGGTAGATCTAGAAGGTGGAACAGTCTACAGAAAAACTGACCCAGTTTCTTAAAAGAAAAAAAAAAAGAATGGCATAGGCATATGGGAAAAAAAAATAGTGGCAGGAGTTGGGAAATACATACCTCTATTCAAGATTAAAGACATTCAAGAAATATAACTACCAAATGCAATGTATACACCTTATTTATTTCCTAATTGTAAAAAACAAACTACAAAACAACTAGGGAAATTTTAAGGACTGGGTAAGTGAAACTATTGCTATTTTGTGTGATATTACTGTTAATTTTGTGATTGTTAAGAAGTGATAATGTATTATGATTATATGTATTATATATGGATAATGTATTATGATTATATGTATTATATATGTATAATGTATTATGACTATAAAGAAAATGTCTGCATTTTACTTTACTTTAGAATACTTTAAAATACAGATGAAGTAAATATGGAAATAATCCAAATGGCTGTTAACTGATGAATAGATAAACAAATGATTATATATTCATATAAACAAACTTTACTCAGGAACAAAAATGAATGAAATATTGATACATGCTACAACATATCATCATAGTCAAAGATTTCAGGGGCTAGGCCACAGATATCTTTAGGGGGCCATCATTCAGTCTATCATAGTAAAACTATTAAAAATAAATAAAAATCCTTAAAATCTACATACTGAATAATGGGAATTCAACATTCTAGTCACTCTACATAGTTATATGTTGGTCAGTTTTCATAATAGTTAAAAAGGAAATACTGGTTTTCACCTGCCAAAATGGCAAAGGCCAAAGAGTCTAAAAATGCATTAAACTGATAAAGGGGCAAGGGAAGCAGACCTTCTCAGATGTTGATGGTAGAAGTATGTATTAGTACAACTTCCATGAAGCAGTTTGGTAATATCTACCAAAATTACAAATGCACATACACTCTGACCCAGCAATTCTACTTTGAGGAATTTATACTAGAAATTTACTTGTATGCATGAGAAATTATGTATGCAGCATTATCTGTTATAAGAAGATACTGGAAACAATCTAAATGTTCACCAATTAAAAAACTGACTTCATATAATCTGTGGATACTCTTGGTGCTTCCCCAGGGGTTCAGTGGTAAAGAATCTGCCTGCAATGAAGGAGACACTGGTTTGATCCCTGGGTCGGGAAGATCCCTTGGAGAAGGGACTGGCAACCCACTCCAGTATTCTTGCCTGGAGAATCCCATGGACAGAGGAGCCTGGCAGGCTACACCCCATGAGGTCACAAAGAGTCAGACACAACTGAGCTACTGAGCACACATTAATACTCTGCAGTCACTTAAAAGAATAAGGCAGGTACATATTAACTCTGGGGAAAAAAGCAAGGACAACAAACAAGAAGAAAAAAGCAAGGTATGTGTGGTATGCTAGCATTTGTCTTTAAACAGTCTTATAAAACTACATGAAATATATGGCTTTACTATTTCTGGAAGGATTCAAAAGAAACTGGTACCAGGAATCATCTCTGGAGAAAGGAGGTGGCTGAGTGGGGGAAAGGAAAGAGAAAAACTTATTTCCTCCTTTTCATAACTTTTGGGTTTTCTACGAGTACATGTACAACAAATGGAGAGAGAGAATAAAATAAATTTTTTTTCAAAAATCAGTATACCACACAAGTTTATGTGGCCCTCAATACAAATTTTCAATTTCCAAATTACCTCTTACCTGCTTGTTGGTGCAGGGAAAGAAAATGACAGAAGCTGATTCCAGAACGGATCATTCTCAGAGACAGATTCTGTGCCTGATAACTTTTTCAAGTACTCATTTTTAGGAAGATCACCAATTCTGCTACTGTTTGATCCCATCTTTTAATCTGTTGGATAACTTGTCCTTAAACCTTCATTTCCACAAAACAACCTGTAAAGAATAAAAAGAAATTTCAAATGTGCTCAAAATAATTGTCATAATTTTCCTACCCATGACCTAAATATAAGAAACTATAAACCTACTTTAAAAAAAAAATCATACCTCCCTTTATTTTTTTAATCTCAACAATGGGATACAACACACTAGTGAAAATGAATTAACTAGATCCACAATTACCAACATGCACACATCTCAAAAATATTTATTTAAAGAAAGCTATGGAATAATGACATGGCATAATTTCATTTATATGACTTTAAAATGTACAAACAATATTATGGATATATTCATAACTACTACAAGTATTAAAACACATATGGGGAAAATACAAAGCAAAACCAGAAGAATGCTTTCATATAATGTTATTGCTTGACGAAAGGGGAGCCTTCAGTGGCATAAATACTTTCTAAAAAGAAAATGGAAAGGAACAGAAACAGATTATTGTTTAGATTTGCTGGAAATGGAGAAGAGATACAAAGGTTTTGTTTCATTACCCTCTATTCCTGTCTGTCTTATACATTAATTCTTAAAAAGAAAAAAACTGGTTTCTTAATCTCACAGCAGCAATACTGTAAAGTAGATGATAGGGAAGCAATGCCTTTAATTAAGAAAAAAAAATTTAACTAGAATTCTATACCTAGACAAAAGCTCCCAGAGAGTATGAAGGTGGAACAGCATTTTTAGATTTGCCAACACTCAAAAACCTCCCATGCACCCATTCGAAGCTACTGGAAAATTTTGGTAGGAGGAAATAAACCAAGAAAAATGAAGACACAGAATTGAGGAAACAGGATTCAACACAAGATAGGTGAAGAGAAATTACAGGTCAAGAGCTGTGCAATAGCTGGAACAAGGGTCAGCATGGCCCACTGACCTCCTGGGGAAGAAAGAAAGACACAGAACTGATATAGGTCACCTGATGTGTCCAACCTTATTCAGTAGTTTTAAAATACCAGAGAATATGGAAGGAAGGGGGCAAGGAATGACAGTTACTCAGAACACAAAGTATATGATTTAATTACGTATTTGGGGGGGAAAAAACATTGTTCAACAAAAGTTTGTGTAGTCACAGGGTATAACTCATTTCAGGTTATGAATATTTATGAAATCACTGTAATATAAAGACTAAACCAAAAATTGGGAGGTAATAACTATACTAGGGAAATGCCAGAAAAAGAAATGAGAGTGGTGGCTTAAGAATGTGAAATCGAGACTTTCCTGGTGGTCCAGTGGTTAAGACTCTGAACTTCCAATTCAAGGAATATGGGTTCCATCCCTGGTCTGGGAACTACTCCCACACGCCACAACTAAGACCTGGCACAGCCAAGTAAATAAAAATAAACATTAAAAATGAATATTTTAAGAATGTTAAGTCTCTAACCTCCATTAAGTAGGTAGGAGGTCAATCTTAGAAAATATTTTAAATTACCGAATCAGAAAACAACAGTAAAAGCATATTAGTTATAAGTAACAAGAAGCAACAGCTCAGAGATTTGAGAGTAGCCACCTTTGAGGAAAAGGACTCAAGTGGGGAGGGTGGTAATACAGTGTTTTCATCCTAAGTCCATCATATTATTTGATTTTTAACCTATGTCTATATATTACTTTGATATTTTTCAATTAAGTATTTTTTCACCTCCTTGACTATTCCATTTCTGGAATTAAAAATTTAAACTTTTAACATATACAGAAAACACAAAAAACATCATAACTAAATTAATAGTGATAAAAATGTGAAATATTCTTTTATGATGCCTACAACTAACAACCTTAAGGAAATCTATTTGTAGGATACAGTCTAATGTTATAAATTATTAAAGCTGATAGCTCCCAAAATCTAAATTTCAAATTTCCATCACTATGTATGTTTACTGACAGGTCACACATGTTTGGTCAAAAAAGAGAATTAAATCCAAAGGCACAGTGACAGACACATAAATAAAACAAAAAAAACTTAGAAATGGACCCACCAAACTGCAGCCAGTTGGAGTTTTTCAACAATGCAAAATCAATTCAATAAAAGGACTATTTTTTCAAAAAATGATGCTAGAACAACTGGGTAACAACAGGTCACACTCTGACCTAAACCTTTCATGTTATACAAAAGTTAACTCAAAATGAATTACAGATCTAAATGTAAACTTAAAAAGTATAAAACTTTTAGATAAGAACACAGGAGAAAACCGTGACTTGGGGTCAGGAAATACTTAAGACACAAAAGCACAACCCATAAAAGAAAACATCAATAAATTGAGCTCCATCAAAATTAAAAACTTTTGGTCCATGAAAACCCTATCTATGAAAGATAAGACACATAAAGAATCTGCCTTCCAATGCAGAGGACATGGGCTCCATTCCTGGCTGGGAAACTAAGATCCCACATGCCAGGGAGCCACTAAGTTTGTGCACAACTGCTGAGCCCTCGCGCTTTAGAGCTCACGCTCTGCAACTGGAGCAGCCCCTGTGCCCCGACTAGGGAACGCCTGCACCCCGTGACAAAGGCCCAACACAGCCAACAAAAAAAAAAAACAGAAGGTAAAATGCTGCCTATAAAACTACTTGAGGAAAAAAATGAAGATCAAAACATTCCGTTCTCAATTAAATAAACAAGTACTTCACAATAAATTTTTCAAAAGAGCAAAACTCCATCCATCCACCTCATAAGGCAACAATAAGAATATCATAGAGTCTATTAATGAAAATTTAAGTCAATCTTGATTTCTTATTTGTATTTTATTTTTTGAATACTATAGTAATGTACATGGTACAAAATATACAGGGTTCAATGCATATACAGTAAAAAGTCTCTCTCCCATCCCTTCTAACCACCTAGTTTCTCAACTCAGAGAAAATATTACTAGTTTCTTGGCTGTCATTCCACAGATTTTCTGTGTATATATAAACACATAGTTTTCCTTTTTATACAAACCGTAACACACTACAAATGCTTCTTTGCTCTTCCCAGTTAATATATATTAGAAATCATTACATATCTACATATAAAGCACTTCATTTATTTTTCACAACTCTGTAACACTCTGGTTTTTAATTCCGTAAGTCCCATAACGATGGGCATTTACATAATTTATGGTCTTTTGTAAACTACAAATCACTCACCAGTAAGCATCTGGTATACCAGATATTTCACACACGTATCAGTATATAGGTACAATAAATCCACAGAAACAGAACTGCCGGGTCAAAGATCCCATGGATTTCTAATTTTGGTAGATACTGCTGAAAGGCAGCAGAAAATGCCACCTCAAAATGCGCCACTGTGACACTTAATTTTGAGCTGCAGACACTTGAAAACAGTAAATGCAGGGTGATGCCTTTTCTGAACCCTCCTTCTCTACTGAAGCCAGACTCTCCAAAAGGAACTCCATTGTCATAAATTGATCAGTTTCATCAATCAAGGAAGATTGATTCTTATCACAGAGGAGCCAAGAAGCAGACACAACACAACTTGGATCACAAACTATCACATCTCTCATCTGTGCTTCTGAGGCCCATTTATCCGTCCTAAAAATCATGTACCGTCCCTTAAGAAGCCTACGTTCCCCTTTCCCTTCCCCCTTTAAGATGGCATTTAAACCTGAATTGAGTTACCTCAGGAGTTACTCATTTTTCCCTAGGTATCTCCCATGAGCTATGTATATTAACAAACTTCTCTTTTCTCCCCTGTTGACCTTTTACCACAGGGCCTCAGTTAAGAACTCAGAAGGGGAGAGGGGACGTCATCTTCCCTTTCCTACACTGCCTTGTTGCCTTCCTTAGAGGTTGCCGACCTCCACCCTCTTCGGCAATGCCTATTTCTCCACACCACAGTCATCAATCTTTAATTACACGTTTCAATCTTCGCCAACAGATATGTGAAAATAGTTTTCAATATGACTTTAATTTGCACTTCATTTCTCGTGCTGTGAATGAGGCCATTACCAGCTTATATCCTTTGCCTATTTTCTACTGATTTATATGAAATAAATTTTATTTTCAAAGCTGCTAGGACAGGTCGAAGTATGAAAACAACTGCTCCACCCAGGACCAATATGAAACCTCTCTGAGACAATATGAATGAAGCCTGTAAGCTGTAAGAGGAGACTGAACAGAATGTTAACAAGGAAAACCAAGATAGCCAACTGAACACAAAATGCAATGTCTCCTTCTCCTCTTTTCTTCACCCAACCCTATAAATAACACATGTGTGCATGCACACACACACAGTCAGTTACTACAGAGCCATGCTCAAAATGACACAGAAAACCAAAAGTTGTGGGGAATCCCTATAAGACAGCTGGAGATGGACTGAAAAGAAAAATGACATCCAGGACAGGCAAAAGAGCCTTCAATCAAGGGCACCAAGAGTATGAATAGCAACCCAAGCCCAGAGGCAGACAGCCAGAAAAGGGCCACAGCCCAGGGGCAACAGGCCTGCCTAGGACATCCTGCCCACTTACCCCTACCCTCACTCCCCTGGGCAACAACAAAGTACCTTCTGCTGAGAACAGAGAGTGAAGGCAGCACCCGAGGCAGCTGCAGTATCAAGGAACAAGCTCAGCCAAGCAGACAACTAGTCATGAGGTACTCTTGCCAGAAAGTTCCACCTGCTTCCCACCCTCAGAGAAAGCAAAGCAGAAAACTGAGGCCCAACGGCATCTCTTCTGCATCTGATTCAGGCCAACGATTCCAAACATATACCCACACACAATCACCTGTACTCAATGTGTGTGGAACCTCCAAGATCCCTACTGATGAAAAGCAGAATAAACTGAAACTTCAAAAACCCACTAGCCAATCACCTCAACTCCTATTGCTCTTCACTGTCACTGTGCATCGGAAGACTTCTCTCTTTTTCTCAATATGTCAATAACAGAGCCTCTCTCCTAGGTTCACCAATGGCTTCCATGATTCTACTTTCAGATCTCTCCTATCCCAACCTCTGATTGGAATGCCTAGAACACTTGAGTTATTTCTTAAACTTAAGGATTTGT